TCTTCTAACTTATAACCATTAGCTTATTCTTTATATCTGTAAGTCTGTGTCTCAAAATATTCATTTGTTTTACTTTTTAAATTCCATGTATAAGTGCTAAATACAGTATTTGTCTCTTTATTATTTATAAACATAATACTCTTTAGGTCCATCCATGTTTTCCCATGGCAAAATTTCATACTTTTCATGACTAATATTCCACTCTGTGTGTGTGTCTGTGTGTGTATGTGTACACCACATTTTCTTTATCAATTTATCTGTTGATGGAGACTTCATTTACTTCCATACTTTGGCTATTATAAGTAATGTCACTATGAGTATTATGGCACATGTATATTTTCAAATTACTGCATTCATTTTCTTTGGATATATATCCAGGAGTGGAACTATTGGATATGGAAGATCTATTTTTAGGTTTTTGAGGAACCTCCATACTGTTCCTCTTAGTGACTGCACCCTTTTATAGTCCTATCAAGACTGTGTTCCCTTTTCTCCACATTCTCAGCAACATTTTTTTTTTTTTTGTGGACATTTTGACAGGTGTAACATGATATCTCATTGTAAGTTTCATTGGCATTCCTTTAATGATTAGTAACATTGAGCATTGTTTTCATGTGCATGCTGGCCATCTGTACATCTTCTTTGGAAAAAATGTCTATTCAAGTCTTTTGCCCATTTTTGATTGGGTTCTTTGCTTTTTTAATATTAAATTATATGAGCTATTTTTAAATTTTTATATTAATTCTTAATCATCATTCACAAATGATATATTTGCAAGGAAATTATATAATGGAAGGAAATCATATATTTCTTTTCATTCAGTAGGTTGCCTTTTGCTTTGTCTATGGTTTCCTTGCTGTGCACAAATTTTGAGTTTAATTACCTCCCATTTGTTTATTTTTGCCTTTGTTTCTTTTGCCTTAGGAGACAGATCCAAGAAATATTGCTACTGTTTATGTCAAAGAATATTTTATTTTCTCTTTTAACTTGTTTAGTTTTAGGTCTTACATTTAGATCTTTAATCCATGTTGCGTTTATATTTGTATTAAAGTGTGAGGACATGTTTTAATTTCATTCTTTTATGTGAAGCTATCCAGTATTACCAGCACAACTTATTGAAAAGACTGTCTTTTCTCCATTGTATATTCTTGCCTCTTTTGTCACAGATTAATGGCCATTAGTGTAGGTTTATAGCTGAGTTCTCTATTCCTTTCCATTGATCTGCGTCTGGTATTAGATTAGTCATTCCTGCCTTCTTTTGGTTATTATTTGCATGGAGTATTTTCCCTTTCCCCTTTTCTTTCACTTTTAACTTTTGTGTTTCTTTAGATCTAATGTGAGTCACTTATAGACAACCTATAGTTGGACATTTGAAGAATATCCACCTCTCCCAGTCTTTACACACTGGCTCTGTGAAGGAAAAGGCCTTCATTCATCAACCTGACATAAATGCTTAGAGCTTTTTCAGGCCTTTTTAAGCATGTCTATTTCCTGGGCCTCTGGGCTTTTCCCATCCAATATTCCAGTTTACATGGCTGCTATTAAATGTCTTATATTTCCTCAGAGTCTCATCTCTGCTTCTTCTTAGGGTCTTTGATGCTCTCTTGTATTTCTCTGCGCATAATTTCTTGCCCCAGTAGCTCACAGATTTGTAACCTTCCTACAGTTTTTAGATGCCATTGGTACCTGCCATTGCTTTCAGTGGGCTCCAACCTGATATTGAACCCATGCCACCATTTCCACCATAGCTCCTTATTAGGCAAAACAGAAACCAGTCACTTAGGAAGACAAAGACAGTCCAGAACAATGCAAACAAGTTTGACTTTTTCCCCCATTGCCTGGGAGGAAACAGGAATTGCACAGTTTCCTCCTGACCATGCTTTGCCAGGGAAGAGGTAATTATGGGTGAGCAAAACCACACCAAAATTTCGTTCCATAGTAAGTGTAGCCTTTTCTTTGTTAAACATGTTTGGCTACTACAAATCCACAAGTGGTTTCTTGAGTTCCCACAAAGCTACTTTGGTCAGTGTTTGCTATTAACTTTCTGTTTCCACAAGTGAACCTGGGTCTAGAGCTTCCTAGTCTGCTCCTTGCTGTTGGCACTCCTCGGCACTGACATTTTAAAGAGATTATTAATGACCTACTGTAGTTAATCCACTTCCTTTTATTACCTTTAAAAATTCCACATCTTCAAGCATTAGTACTGACCTCTTTGATTTGGTTAATAGACAATGACATAACAACAGAGATCATATGATTTATCCATTACTAGCAAATTTAGTGACTACAGCTTATTAAATCACAGTATTTTGAATGCTTATTGTGCTTGATGATTCAGCTGTACACAATATTTTGTAGATTGTTATACTTCCAGTGTCTGAAAGGTGTCATACCTATTATTGATGCTCAAAAGTGATGATGTCGTGTTAATGACACTTCAAGCTTATTTATTCATGACCTAAGCCATGAGCCAACTGTTTATAAAAGCTGACTTCTAAAATCAAAGTTGACTTCATATTTTTCAACACTTAGTGAAGGAAAAACTACAGATCTTCTGAAGATAACCTATGTTTCCTGGATACTTTAGGCTCTTGGAAGTATATAAAGTTTTTATCTTTTAAATCATCAGTTGTAGCTCAGAAAGTTAGAAGTTGAGATTTATCCAATTTTTACCCATCAGGAATATGCATCCTCCATTATCCCAGGGTGCCACTTTTGGAGGAAATATCCCAGATAACTCTATTTGCTTGAGATTAATTACTTCTTCTCTATCTTTTCAAATATACCATATATTCAGTATGTTTCAGTACATGTTCACATACTGCTTTGTAGTTGCTTTCCAGTTTTCTGACTCTTTAGCCTCCTTGAATAAATTATATAATAATCGTTCTTACTCCACATCTCATTATTCAAGAAGTAACTGCAATTCTTTCTTACACTGCTATCACAAATATCCTTTATAACTAGTATCAGCCCCTTTCAGGTCTCATCTCCTCATAAATTATTAGTTTCATCGTACACAGACACTGCTTGCTTTTATCACCGTTCCACTTTAAAACCCAAAATTTCCTACTGGATAATGGTCACACTCCTTCATGACCCTCCTTAGTTTAGCCTCATACTACACTTCCACATTTATTTTCCCCTGTCTGCATCATGTTTCCTGTGACTGCACTTGTTTTCAGACCTGAACATATGCTGTTCTTTTATCCTTGAATGCTCACCCCAGTCACCTACCAAATTTATTCATTACACATTTCATTCATACAGCATATATTTAATTTTTATTTTCTCATTTGTAAATCACATCACTTGCATTAATCCTTCCCTAACTGCTTCAGTCCCCAAGTGTTCTGGCTTCTTCTGTCTTATACAGTAGTCATTTCTTTATCTTCTTCATTTGGCACATTAGATACAATTTCTTGGCATATTTACTTATCTTTTTTCTGCCTATATCCCATGTTGTCAGCTAGATTGTACCTTTCTCAAAGCCAGGAAACAAACAGTAAAGCTTGTCTATTGTTATAATGCTCTCAGCTGTATTTATATTTAATTATGTACCTGAACACTGATTATTTTCCTTGATCACAAGAGAAATGATGGGCCGTGTTGATGTTTACTCAATAAGCTTTGGTAAAACAAACAGAATCAATTACTTTTTTCCAGAAATCACACCCATAAAACATTGCTCACTCTCCTGTATTAAAACATTTCATTCAAATTTAAGGGCAAAGTCAATGGCATTGTCTAGATGCTCCTCTGATGCCTGCTGACTATTTTTCAGGATTTGCCAAGAAGCTTTTGAATTTTAAAAGTTTCTTGGCTAGTGTAAAGAATACTTCTTTCAACCCATTAAATCATAGAATGCATAAACCAAGAGAGTTATGCCATGCTCAAGTGTTAACAAGAAATGTTGCCAGTAAGCTCAACTTAGGACCTGGCTCAGAGAATGCATTCCATAAATAGTTGTGAATCAATATCAATGGTTTCCTTTCTCAGCATTTACACAAATTAAGGGAGCAGGGCAGTTGAAATAGTGGTTTACTGATTTAGTGCTGAAAACCACTGTACAGCTATTGTGGTGGATCCTCCATCAATAGATCATTCTCAGCCTGGGTGGTATTTTCATCACCTCATGGAGAGGAGTAGTGATTTGAACAGAACCATCTTTAAATAGGGCTCTCCTTGTGGCACAGACAGTTAATCTGCCTGCAATGCAGGAGACCCGGGTTCAAACCCTGGGTCAAGAAGATCACTTGGAGAAGGGAATGGCCACCCGTTCCAGTAGTCTTACCTGGAGAATTCTATGGGCAGAGGAGCCTGTCCATAGGAACATTTTGGACTAAGTGTTTCTTCTTCCACAATTCTTCATCTCTTTGGGACTTTGTATATAAGCTGATACAAAGCATAGGTGTCCTTGTCTCCCAATATGTTACTACATTGCTAAGAAATAAGACGTTTTACCAGAAGTCTTCTAGAGACATACTATAAGTTGCTAACCTGTAGAGATCATTCAAATGGGAGGAATTTCAAGAACTCAGATGAATATGTTTTTTTCCCCTCCTCGAGTCATAACTGAAAGACTACACCCCACTCTTTCTTAGTAGTGAAATAGAGGCCTTCTTTCTGTAGTTGAGATAAAAATATTTTGAAATGAATCAAATATTTTAAAATTAATGGACCTCCCTATAATTTTTTTCTTGATTCAATTTCTTCTGAGAACACATTAAGTTTTATAAGTTTAGCCCAGGGCTAAACATGGCCCAGAAAATTCTAACACATGATTTTCTCATTAGATTCACTTTGAAAGTGAATAAAAACCACATGGAAAAACACACAGAAAAATAAATTCCTGGACTATAAAGATGATCCAGAGTTTTCTTTACATGTCACTTACCTACTCTTACCCCCAATTTCTAAAAACACAAAGTATTTTTAATCAGTTTTCAAGAAGGTGCTCTAATTGTCTATAAGCATGCATTCAAAGGAGGAAAACATTCTTCAGGTGTCAAGAGTAAATGTGTTTATTTCGAGTTAGTGGATACAAATGGTATATTAGATACCAGCACTCCAAGCTACACCTATGTATTTGCCTCTAAACCTTCACACGTTGTCAGTTTCCATTCCTCTAACATTCCATCACTGGGCCTCCTATTTCTAGCAAAGTCATAGTTCAGTTGTTTTTTTTTTTTTTTTTTAAAGTAAGAGCAAGATGATCACCACATTGTGCTTCCAGTGCCCCCAGAAGGATTATAATTCTTTTAAACAAAGCTTTATTGTTTTCAGTAAAGGGGGAAATTGATAACAAGAGCACTAGTAATGGCACGACTAGAAGAGAAAGAACAGAATACAGATTAAAAGAAACATTTTAGGCTGGATGAGTTAGTTTCTCCTTAGTAAAAACTCCACATAATATTATGGACATGATGTCAAAGTTAAATTGTTCAATTTGTGGGCCACACACTTAAGCGTATTGGCTAGTACATTTTTGCACTTAAACAGAAGCAATACAAGCTTTATGTTCTACCATTACACTTCCAATTTGTCACTTATTAATATACCTGCCAACCTAATGATTCTTGCATGCATTAGAGTTTGCTTTTGTAGAGTTAATTTTATTTTCCCCATCCCTCCCACTCCCATAAACACTGCAATGTGAACTCTGCCCAATTTTATGAGAATGTTGCAAAGGACAGCTCTGTGCCACCTCGGGACAGGAATTTCCCGTCCCCTCCTCAGGCTAGAGACGGATCAGTGGTATTGATCACATCTCATCTTACATGCAAACAGACACTGCTCCTTATTTTCCCCATGCCAGAGGCACACGAGTCAGCAGGTATGCATACAAAAATGGAATTAAAAAGGAAAAAAAAAGAGAAAGAAAGAAAGAAAGAAAAAGCTTTCTTGTTAAAGCCTATCGTCCTAGAAGGAATCCATTGCTTTGAATTCACTTAAAGCCTGTACAGGCGAAATGTGTTTCTTCTGAGAACCTCGTCTCACTCTTGTCTGGAATTCTTCAGGCTTTTCTCTCTTCACAAGGGGCTTCTTCTCTGGTGCCTTCATCTTCCAGGACACGACAGGTGAGTTGACAGCTGCTGTCCCATAGACCTTCTGGTATTTTGTTGAGGCCACATAAGATGCTTTCACCGTGAGGACAACAGCGTTCATCAGGTTTTTAGCTGCCTGGATGAGTGACGTGGCACTGTCCAGCTGGAGTAGAAGAATGAGATAAAAATGGGTTAGTCAAGGCCCAGCATGCAGAAGATGGAGGTGCAATTTCACATTTAAAACAAAGTTGTGTCTGTGCGGTATCCAGTATTTCCATAAAGGAGCAAACTACTACACGACAAGGTGAATAGGTTACAAAACTGTCACCTGTCTTCTATTCCTAATCCCAACATAAGGAGGAGGAAAAAAAGAGGATATTTGACGATACCCAGTTTTATATAATATCAATACCACTAAAGACAAAACTTTTTTTTAATCATGTAAGAATTCCAACATAAGAGAAATTTTCCAAAGTGGAACACCTAATGTTATTACATTAGGCTGACTGGTAATGATGACAATTAAATGTTTGAAAAGCATTTGGCAGGCACTGAAGAATAAAAAGTTATAAGGGTTTTCCATCTCAGTTTTATGGTCCTCCCAGTGAAAATATCTATTTATAAATAATTTCTCCACCCTGACTGATTGATACGGATGCAGGCAGCTAGGCAGAAGAATATATCCATGGATACAATGACTTATTAATTAGGTGTCTGATATTCTACAGTATCTGTCTGAATATTCCCAGATCTTAAATGTACCTCATATAAAAATATCAACAATTGTGTTAGATGTGTTTAGGTCAGAGAGCATTCAATAAGACCCCCCTATTCATGTGCTAAAGGAAATGTTGTTTTCTTAAGAAGTGCCAAATGCGATTTTAAGAACTTTGTTTACCCACTCAACTCTCACAACAATGTTGTGACGTAGGTATTGCTGTCATTGCCATCATTTGGTGAGAGATCTAGTGCATGCAGAGGTCCAGTAATTTTCACAAGTTTACACAGCTTAAGTGATAAGGTCCTTCAAGACTGTACTACTGTACCATACTGACACCCTATTGTGTAGGATGACTTATTTTATTTTATTTTTTTTCATTTATTTTTATTAGTTGGAGGCTAATTACTTCACAACATTGCAGTGGGTTTTGTCATATATTGACATGAATCAGCCATGGAGTTACACTTTAAAACTGTTAAGACAAGTCACAGCTTAGAGCAACATTGGTGTGCAAATTCATATCCAGACTTTAAGGCCAGGGATTTTTCAAGTTACCTCTTTTCTGCTTTTCATCATTTAGGCAGCATGTTACATACTTCATACTAGACCATTCAAACTCCGGGACATTGAAACTCTGTTTCAAACTCTGGGACAACAAAAGCTGGAAAAGTTCAAAACTGCATTTCCCAGACTCCCATTCAGTCAGGATTGTATGTCACCTAGTGACGGGAAAGAATTAACAGCTGGACTACAAATATTACTCCAGCCTCAGGGATGCCTGAATGTAATCTGTTCATCAAACTTATAGTATCAATTAAGGAAGGTCCCATTGCAGCTAAAGAAGAAATTCAAGGCTGTTGTTAAGGAATGTGCTCCTAGATGCTGAGGCTATTCATTGTATATCTTGTAATCAATGACTGTAGCTACATTAGAGAATGGGAATGAGGCATATGACCTTCTGGGTGTGAGGAATTAACAGTGTTTATGCCCAGTGACCCCAAACACTGTGACTCCCCATGTGATATGACCTGCATTCACTTAACTTGTCATTTCCTGTGAACCAAGTGAGTCTCAAGTAGTGACTGGGGACATCAGATGTTATATCTAAGGGCTCTATTATGTTACCCTGGCTGTTATCTCTTCTACATCCTTTATTAAAGCTAAATAAACATATTCTGAGCTTAAAAATTTCTATGAGAAATGAATTCAATTCCTCTACCACAAAAAGCTTATAAAATCAGATCATTGGAGAAAACAACAGAAGGAGTTTTTTAAGTATGAATTTCTTACAATGCCATAAAATTAAGGCTTCACCATACACACACACTCGTACACACACACACATAAATTAAACATCAGTATTACATTGACTCCACAATAATATAGAGAAGCAGAGATTTGTGGATTAGAGCCATGACTCAAGGAATATATAATTGACTGCTTCACAAATTAAATCAACCAAATGGATAGAGTAATTACTTACACTACCAATTCTATTACACTGTATAAGATGTCCATATACCAAAATAACCGTTTAACCAATAATGTTTACTTTATACAGCATAAATTTTAAAGTCAGCTAAGGAAAAGAAAATTCTAGATTATTCACATTAATAGAAGGGAAGCCAAGCACAGATTAATGCAGTGATGTTCTAAGTATGGTCTCTGAACCAGCAGTATCAGCATCACCTGGGAACCTTTTCAAAATGCAATCTCTCAGGCCAATCCCCAAATTTCTGAATCAAAAACTGGTAATCCAGGAGATTCTGATTCATGCCAAAGGTTGAGAACCTCTGGATTAATGAAACCCAAAGACTATCTCAAGGCTTGTTTCATCCAATGATTTCAAGACTTTCACCATCCACAAATTTTGTAACATCACAGCTCGTTAACTGATTGAATTTCACTTTTTCATCTTTCCAATGATACTTTCAGGTAGGAATACAAATAATGAAGAAAAGAGATAAGATAGCAAAATGCTGGGACAATTAGGAGTTCAGTCATGGTTTCTTTAGAGCTAGATACGATACCCCTCAGCCAATTGACAATTCCCTGTAAAAGTCTATCAGGTTTCAAAAATGAGCAATATTCATTTACAAAGTTAGTTGCTTCTATTGTGGGCTATGAGTGAAGAGAGGGTAGAATGATATTAATATATCAGGGACAGTTGTCTTGATTTGCTTTGGAGCAAGAGAATTAGTAGAAGTAGAATAGGACAAAGTATGTCTATTGTATTTTAAATTGTCCCTGGAAAAGCAAATCTTGGGAGAACTGAGTAAGTCCAAAGAGAAGAATTACAAGTAATCTGGAGATTTTTACCACAGATTCCATTTTCAGATAGATGGTGTCTAATTCTGCTGCAAAAATATGATAGCCTCTTTCTTCTTCAGAACCCCTTTGTTCTCCCAGCCTGAGGCACGAATCCTGTGAATAAACCTAACACATTGGTTGAGAGTGAGATGATTCTGAATGATTAAGCCAATGACTTTGTTCAAACCACCTGGTAGGGCAGGTATTAAACCTATGGCAAGGCAAAATGAGGAGGTGAGGCCCAGCTAAGCCTGAGCAAATACATTCAGAGGTAGTAAGGCCAATCCAAAATCAATGCAAAATTTGACTTTTTCTTAAAAGTTGAGTTCTCTAAGGGTACATTTTACCATTTGCCCTTTACCCACTGTAATGATTTAGATCATTTTCAGCACCATCATAATTTGTTTTAGTTAAAAATGGGTTTCCTTTACACTTATCCAAAATACCACTGAGACCTGGTTTCCAAGTGGCACATTTTGTTAAAAATGCACTTTCTAAAGAAAATACCTTAAAAATCATAAAGTTACATTTCAAGATGATATTTAAATAGAAGGTTTAGCAAAACTTATTTCACATAACTGCATCCTATTTCGTGATGTATACTGTAACTAGGGCATTTTCAAACAAAACATGTTAATGAATATGTGTAAATGAAGTTCTCATAATAATAACCAACATTGGTTGAATGTTTACAAGGTGCTTGGCATTGCTTTAGTCCTTTTAGTTAATTCGCATGACTCAAGAGTCAAAGGAGAAGGCAATGGCAACCCACTCCAGTACTCTTGCCTGGAAAATCCCATGGACGGAGGGGCCTGGTAGGCTGCAGTCCATGGAGTCACTAGGAGTCGGACACATCTGAGCGACTTCACTTTCACTTTCCACTTTCCTGCATTGGAGAAGGAAATGGCAACCCACTTCAGCGTTCTTGCCTGGAGAATCCCAGGGACGGGGGAGCCTGGTGGGCTGCCGTCTATGGGGTCGCACAGAGTCGGACACGACTGAAGCGACTTTGCAGCAGCAGCAGAGTCAAAAATCCTTGAAATAGAAACCTTACACCACATTTTACAGATGAAGAAAGGCGAATTTAGGGAGGTGAGGTAAGGTAACTTGTCCCTGTTCAGTTCAGTTCAGTCTCTCAGTCTGAACTTTGCGACCGCATGAACCACAGCACGCCAGGCCTCCCTGTCCATCACCAACTCCTGGAGTTCACCCAAACTCATTTCCATTAAGTCGGTGACGCCATCCAACCATCTCATCCTCTGTCGTCCCCTTCTCCTCTTGCCCTCAATCTTTCCCAGCATCAGGGTCTTTTCAAATGAGATAGCTCTTTGCATCAGGTGGCCAAAGTATTGGAGTTTCAGCCTCAGCATCAGTCCTTCCAATGAACACCCAGGACTGATCTCCTTTAGGATGGACTGGTTGGATCTCCTTGCAGTCCAAGGGACTCTCAAGAGTCTTCTCCAACACCACAGTTCAAAAGCATCAATTCTTCGGCACTCAGCTTTCTTCATAGTGCAACTCTCACATCCATACACGACTACTGGAAAAACCATAGCCTTGACTAGACAGACCTTTGTTGGCAAAGTAATGTCTCTGTTTTTAAATATGTTGTCTAGGTTGGTCATAACTTTCCTTCCAAGAAGTAAGCGTCTTTTCATTTCATGGCTGCAATCACCATCTGCAGTGATTTTGGAGCCCAAAAAAATAAAGTCAGCCACTGTTTCCATTGTTTCCCCATCTATTTGTCATGAAGTGATGGGACCAGATGCCATGAATTGGCAAAGTAAGAATTAGGACCCGTACTATCTATTTCTCACCAAAGCTCAACGGCTGAACCACTATACTGCGCTACTTCTCTTAAGCCTCATTCAGTCTCTGGGGTCTTGTTTTTCAGTCACAACCTATCATTCAAAACAAACAAATCCCAATTATTAACTCTGTCTGGGCATCTGATGGGCTTCCCAGGTGGCTCGGTGGTAAAGAATCTACCTGCCAATGCAGGAGATGCGAGACATGTGGGTTCAATCCCTGGAAGATCCCCTGGAGCAGGAAATGGCAACCCACTCTAGTATTATTGCCTGGAAAGTTCCATGGACAGAGGAGTCTGGTGAGCAGCAGTCCATGTGGTCACAAAAGAGTCAGATATGACTGATCACACACAAACAGGCAATCTTATAAACATCATGACTGAGTCTATTAAGAGCTTCTATCTCCTGATCTGTGATTTTTTGGTCTTATCCTCAGAACCTGCATTCTTTCTAACTCTATCTCTCGGTGTTGGATGTGCTGCGTGCATACATGCTAAGTCGCTTCAGTCCTATCTGTCTCTTTAAGACCCTATAGACTGTAGTCCGCCAGGCTCCTCTGTGCACGGGGATTCTCTATGCAATAATGCTGGAGCGTGTTGCTATGCCCTCCTCCAGGGGATCTTCCTGACCCAGGGATGGAACCCACATCTCTTGCATGGAACCCGCATCTCTCTTTACGTCTGAGTCACTGGGGAAGTCTTCGGGTGTGCTACTGCCCAGTAATCCTTCCTGGCCCTTTGGCTGTTCTCCTGGCTTGGATTCACCATAATGGCAGCAATGCCTGGGGTCTGAGCCCTGCAGATTTGTCTTGTACTTGGTCAGTTTCTCTGAAGCACATTCAATCTATGGCAGTAATGACTGGCTGTACACTCAGGTGGGGCTCAGCTACTCTGATGAGTGTTATAAGCCTTTAACTGGGCTGGTCTTCCTAGCTTAATAAGTCTCAAAGGTACCCGAGTCATTCCTCAAGCTGGCCTGCATATACACTGACTAGACTCACCCACAGAAAGATAATTGTGTATTTTCCTGCTCAAAGGCCTTTCTACTTCTTCGAGTATGCACATGCCCATGTGTACTCTCTCATGTTGGATTCCTTGCAACCCCATGGACTGTAGCTCACCAGGCTCCTCTGTCCATGGGATTCTCCAGGCAAGAATATTGGAGTGGGTTGCCATTTGCACCTCTAGGGGATCTTCCTGACCCAGGGATCGAACCTGCATCTCCTGTGTTTCCTGCATTGTAGGTAAATTCTTTACCACTTGAGCCATCGGGGAAGTCCTAAAATTCCTTTATCAAGTCTAAGACAAGTGGCTACTTAATTAAAAAAAAAAAAAAATAGCTTACGTTGAACAAATGTGACCCTGAGTCATTCTCTGGACTAGCTTCTCAAGTTTTCCTTCTCTCACCCAATCTCACCGCGATAGAGGAAATACTGTTGTGTTCAACTGGGACTTAGAAGGGACATACAGCTTGTCCTGTATCGTGATGGTAGTAAGTGGTAAAGCCAAGATTCAATCCCAGAAAGCCTAACTTCAGAGTCCATGCTCCATCCATCGCTTCATTCTGTTTCTTAGAGTTGTGATAGCAGACAAATCCACAATCCTAAAATTCATCAAACTGTGCTAGACTAAGTCTCCCCGCTCCATCCCATAGGTGTCTGTTGTCCCTAACCACAGAAAATAGGCTTCTTCTAATTCTGTCACTATTCTTTTTAAAATATCAAAGTACTATTTTAAAAAGGCAACAGATGTTTGCTCACATCTTGTTCTATTACAGTCCATGAAAAGCAAATAGGGGTGGGAGAACTGTTTTACAGCCATTTTTATAGGGTTTTTCTGCCTCTTTTTCTGCCTCTCCTACCACTCTATTCTTCTTCACCTCATTTAACACCTAATAGATATCTTTTTCCCTGCATTTTCTTATTTTGTGTTTTGAATAGAGAGAAATACTAGGGGGAAGACTTTCCTGAATTATGATTCTTCCATTAATTGATATTTGTGCTAATTCCTCATGTCAAAGCTGAAGATTGTTGTGAAAAGTGCTTATAATGAATCTTTAAAGTTTACAGGATCATCTGGAGATTTCTGAAACCCCATGTCCTTAAGTTTTATGCTATTTCATTAACATGGGGTTAATACTGCAGTAGGTGCTCAGTTTCAGTAGAAACAGAATTTGACACAATCGTGACTGCAAGACTCAAATCACACATGAAGGTGCAACTACATTCTTAAAACATTAATTATCATTTACTCTCTACCCTACATCTGTCTACTTACACATTTATTCATCCAAGGATTTCTTCACAAAAGATAACCTATTGTGTATCTATATTGTGCCAACCACTGGGCTTAAGTGTTGGGTATACAAATATTAAACCAGAAGTTTTAATTTTTGTTCAGTTTCTAAGTCAAGTCCAGCTCTTTGTGACTCCCATGAAGTTTTAATGCTCTATTATATATCCTTTAGTTGGATGTGAGGTGCTAAAATCCCAGAAAATAGAGGGATCTACCTTGAATCAAATAGGGATAGGGTAGGAAAATAAAGCTTACTGGTGGACATGATGTATAAACTCACTTTGATGGACTGAACAGAATATTGTTGGTGCCTAGATGATTAAGAATGCTGAAGAAGAACAATTTTAACATTTTTCTATCATACAAATGGGTATATATGGATGAATTCATCCAGGTAATATTAACAGAAACAAGAGGGAGGCTGCAGTGCTCAGCTGTTGAGTTTAACTTTGGACAAATGTAATAATGTGTGCGCTATAAGTAAGTGGAGTGAGTTATCAGAGGGAGAGCTGAAATTCTGTGAGTGAAATTTAGGAAAACCATGTTTTGTTTATATCAGTTTTCCCAGTCCTGCATACTCTAAGCATACAACTTATGTCAATTTCTGATTTCTTCTCCCCTTCACATTCCTTATTTAGTGTTTCTACAGAGAGACATGATAGAATGTGGAATAAAATATTAAATCCATATTCTGCCCTCAGGTCAAAAAGTCCAATGAATCTACTAAAACATTTTTCAGCATTATACTTCTAATATCAAAATCAATATTATTTTAATAATCTAAGACATAACATCATCAAGAAATAACTATTCCCTTGACAGACAAGGCTACTTCTGATTCTGTTAAGTAATTAGCAATCCCTCACCCTTGATAATAATGGTAAACTTTCTGGGACCAACCAGCAATAAACCAAATGCAGTTTAGATTTAACAGCTGGTTTAAAAACCAAAACAGCGCCCCACCCCCAACCAATGGCACTGACAAAAGTGCAAAGCAATGTGAAAGAGGTGTAGAGAAATGCCT